TCATTATGAATACTCTGCCTAAACAACCTATCAAAGATATTTAAAACAGGCATTACTTCTGGCTTATGTGGTATTATTCAATGTATAGGTTAGGAAATAAAATAAAATGCACTGGGAGTTTCTTTAGATGATTAGATGTATATTTTGAACGGTATATACTTTGGATGTTAGTAAATTGATTTTTGTGAACAGAATGTTTTCTATAGGTTAGCAAGTAAAACTTCAAGAGTGACCTGGTAGTGAAAAAATATATTTTATAGTTTGTCAGGTAAAAAAAAAAGAAAAAAAAGAAAGAGAGGGAGAATTTCTGCTCTTCTCTTTAACAGAAAGTAAATAAAAGACATTTCTCAATGATCAAGAAAACGTCTCGAAAAAGATTAAAAACGGAATAACTATCATCTTATTTGTTTGTTTGTGGTTGTGCACAAAAATACACAATGGGCTATCTGTGCTCTGCCCACTACGGGTATCGAAACCCGGTTTCTAGCGTTGTAAGTCCGCAGACATACCGCTGTGCCACAGGGGCCCATCATCTTTAATTACTGTCACATACTGGCACTGAAATATTCACGATACGTAATCGTAATGAAACAGCTCACGTATTGTTCCGGCTGAGAAGCTAGAAAGAATTTAAATTTACAGATAATATATTACAGAGCGTGCTGTCGAATTGTTTAAAATTTATATCAAACTATTATCACACATGTAATGTTACTTAGAAGTCAAGGTGTATTATACTTACAGCTTCTAGTAAAATTAAAATACAGGTGCTGTTTTTTTTTTATTCAGTGATGATTTAACTTGTTTTAATTAATGTGCATCTCGCTGTATTGTTAAAAACTGAATGTAATAATCTTACCATTGAATACTTTCAGCATGTTTATATAACATATTTACAACGTTTATTACTTTTATTTCTTGTTTTGAAGATTGTTGTGATGACTATAATATACTCATTGTTATTTTTACATGTAATTATTTCGATGTGTTAATTAATTCTACAAGGGGATTATAAAGAAAATTTCTTGTTTAAAATATATTAAAATTAATTGTCTTAGAAGAGTTAAATTTCACCAAAGGCACATGGAGTATCAGAAGATTCATTAAAGAAAGTTTGGACACGGTATAGGATGTTCCACAAACTGCTACAGAAGAGACTTAATATGATTTCCTTTATTCTCATTCAGTATGTTAAGCCTACCCCTAAACGAAGCTACTACGAGTATCAACTGTCCTAGACAGTATTCATAGATCCCCACAACATCCTAGTATTATTGAAAGAAGGAGAAAGAAGAGAAAATAAATGTAATTATCTTAATATTTATAGTTTGTTTGCTTTTGTTTATTAAGCTCAAAACTGCACATTGGGGGTGGGGGTTCTGCCCACCTCAGGGATCTGACGCTGGATTTTAATATTATATAACCTCAAACGTACTGCTGAGTCTCGGGGGAAGGGCGTAGCTAGTTTTAGAGAAAAGCGTTTTAAGTATGTAGCATAACATGGTTTTTGAAATATCCTGTATTATATTCAAACTATCCTGAATAATTAAGTATGTAGCATAACATGGTTTTGAAATATCCTGTATTATATTCAAACTATCCTGAATAATTAAGTATGTAGCATAACATGGTTTTTGAAATATCCTGTATTATATTCAAACTATCCTGAATAATTACGTATGTAGCATAACATGGTTTTTGAAATATCCTGTATTATATTCAAACTATCCTGAATAAAACTTATGAGTCTTAATGCGCATCTGATAAGATTTTTCCCCTATGGACAAGTAGATTTAAAGTTATAATCGTTTTATGTCATCAATCTCATGCCGTTCAAAGATAGACAAACAAGAAAAAATAAAACGAATGTTAGTTTGCGAGAAACACGATTCAAGTGTTCGGAATAATATTGTTTTGAAAGATCCTTTACTATGTCCAAACTTTCCTGAATAAAACTTTATTTTCAGTGTGCTTCTGGGAGGAAGAGTAGTTTTTAAGATAGAATATTTTTAAATATTGGGCTTTATTTATAATTAACCTTTGTAAACGCACCACAGGGGACAGCGGTATGTCTGCAGACTTACAACGCTAGAAACCGGGTTTCAATACCCGTGATGGGCAGAGCACAGATAGCCCATTGTGTAGCTTTGTACTTAACTTCAAACAAACCAACAAACACTTTGTAAATAATTACAAATGATTTACTGAAGTTATTTATTAAACTCAAGCCCCCTCCCCCCACCAAACAAACTAAGAAAAATAACCAAATTTTTAACTACAACGGCTAATTATAACAAGCTTGAAATTATCAAACAATTTTACAGTTTCTAAAAACTAGTTAAGTAATGTATATATATATATATATTTTTTTTTTATGTTTCTGGTTCGTTTATATTTCAACTTTTGTGTATTTTTCACCATAACTGACTTGTGTTTAATTATGTTTCAGTAAAACAATTTTAGTGATTTTATTTTTATGAGTTTACATTCTTCTCTTCTTATAACATTTCTATATATATATATATTTAAACATTCTCGAATCCGGGCAAAATCACTCAAGGGACTATTGTGTTTATCATGAGAAGTAATAGTTGAGGTGATTTCCCGTTGTCTTCCTGAATGGGTGTAGTATATTGTTCGACATACGCAGGTCAACAAACAATAAACACATTCTTATGGTAATGGGGCGCAAACCAAGAACCCTCGGATTCACAGTTAGACTCGTTAAGCACAACGCCACGACCGACGTATCTCTATATTACGTAACAGAATAAAGACTAATTAGATATAAATTTATCCATGTGCCTTGGTAACAGTTTGAATATAATTTATGTCTGAGACAATATTTAACATTACGTTTACGTGAAAAAAAAACTGAAATCTGACAATAAGCAACGACTTACAGTGCTGAACGAGATCAACAATTTCAATATTTTTCTGTAAGTTGTTGGGTAATTAACACCTGAGACAACAAGCAACGACTTACAATGCCGAAACAGATCAACAATTTCAATATTTTTCTGTAAATTGTTGGGTAATTAACACCTGAGACAACAAGCAACGACTTACAGTGCTGAAAGAGATCAACAATTTCAATATTTTTCTGTAAATTAACGCCTGAGACAATAATCAACAACTTACAATACTGAATGAGATTGATGAGATTATCATCGTTGTATAAACTGGAAATTATTTGAGCTTTGTCGTATCCACTGTTGGTAAAGTTTATTTTGGCGTCCGAGTTAAGAAGCTTCTCATATTTGTAGTTTATATTAGCGTCCAAGTTATCGGAAGTTCCTTTCACGATAGCCTTGTGACTTTATTCATGTATAGTTTGATAGTTTTAATTTGTTGTTTTTTCAATAAAATGATTTTTTTTTGTTTTGTTTTGAATTGTAGTAATCTGCACAATCTTTCTTCAATTTTGTGTTTGTACGTATTACACTCGAGTGAAAAAAAAATATTTTCAAGATTATTTAAACAGTTTTAAACATCTGAATTCTTTGATCGTATAAATCTTTTTTTTTATAAATTAAATCAAGAAACGATATTTTTCCTACATTGTTCTCAGAAACGTAACCCCCTAGTGGCACAGCGGTATGTCTGCGGACTTACAATACTATAATCTTGGTTTCTATACCCGTGGTGGACAGAGCACAGATAGCCCATTGTGGAGCTTTGTGCTTAACTTCAATCCAACAAAAGAAATAGGAGCTTATTATCCAAATAATATCAGTTTTGAAAAGTATTGTGCCCATATCAATATCACTAAACATTATGAACCAGAGAAATTCTTAATAACTGATTTTTTTTTTTAATATTCCAGGTCTACTCTTTAATTACAGTAAATCGCTTACATTTTGACAAATCATACTATTTAAATATTTTGTTTTCAATCCACTTTTACGTGCGTTTAACTATTTAACCTGATGTATGGGTCTAATAGTGTTTACCTTAACAATGAGAAACAACCATGAAGTTATATAGCATTAAATGTGCTAAGATAAAAATATAAAACAATAATAAAGCACTGCTCTCGCTATTAGAAATTATTAGTTCTTTTTGCCGTGCAGTATACCCCGTTCACTATTACTATACACTGTTAGCATTACAAAGTTTTACATGAAGTTCTGTCGTGATCTATATATATATATACTATGTTCATTGCCACTATACGCTGTAAGCATTGCAAAGTTTTATACGAAGTTTCTTCATGCGCTATACCCCCGTTCACTATTACTATACACTATTAGCATTACAAAGTTTTACATAAAGTTCTGTCGTGAGCTATATATATATATATATACCATGTTCACTACCACTATACGCTATTAGCATTGCAAAGTTTTCTATGAATTTCTGTCGTGCGCTATACTCAGAAGTTTGTGAGAAAGTTTTTGCTAATCTAAATTTACATGTTTTAAAGTGCTTGATTCACTATAATTCCCTCAAGGCTAAACAAACAGCTATTTGCGCAAGCAAACCATAATTTTGACTTGATAGACTAAAAGGAAAGCTATAAGTAAACAGCACTCATCGCCAACTCTTGTATGACCAAATAGTAGGATCTGACTGTCATTCCTATAGCGCACTTATGTCTTCAAGGAGTAGAGCACCTTTTTGTGGCAAGGGACCGTGACCATGGTCCCCTTGATCCACAGTTTGAGTATGTTGACCACAAGCCATGGCCGGGCTCATAATTTAAAACAAAACCTCACAATTTTATATAACATATAAATTAAACTGCAAAACAAAACAAAAACGTAAAACATTCTTTGTGCACTAACTTCGGGGAATTTTTTAGTAAGTATAAAAAAACTGAAAACTCATCAGTCAAACTGTCAGTTTTCTTCTGCTAAAATTAATACAAAAGTCAATCAGCAAAAACTGAGAGCTACATGTAGTTCATCTGTGTTGCCGTGATGGGGAATCATTCTAGCCAGTCAGCTAGTTCCTCACTTACATCTAGGAGAATAGGAAAAATAATCACCTCTCCTACCTGAGGACGGCCTGTCCGAATACCGAGTGCAGTACACCCAAGCCGGCCACACCAACGGTGCCATCGCTTTGCTAGGACTCGGTGTTTGAGAGGACAGAGTCAGAGTTTTGTTGTCTCCAATATTTCTAACTCGACGATCCTCTCGAGCATGTCGACCGAAGTCTGGAGAGAGGATTTTTTCTATCGAAAACTTCAATGATCGGGCTGTAGCAACGGGTGCGGCGGAATCTGATCCTTGGCTTCCGGGACTTGGCGTCGGAGACAGCCCTTCCCTCCTGTACTCTGAATGCTTCAGCAAATCTTGGGGTTCAGGGCTTCTGGCTGTATTATGTGGATGGTCAGTATCTTGAGCCATCCTGTCAATCCACGTGCACACTACAAGCACGCACAGTCCAACTTTTACGTTTCTCTGAAGTTCTCTGTTTGTTCAGTCACCTCCTCATTCCAACAATATACAATGATCAGCTCCCTCCAGCGGCAGATAGAAAACCTAATCGAGTAACAGTGGCTGCGTGAATCTGCCTAATGTGACCTTTTAGGGTCAGCTGGTGTCTCGTGTCCTCCTTTGACGACAGTCCTGTCCGCTTTTTATACGTATTTGTCGTTGAGCCATGAGTTGAGCTGAAGTACGAGAGTCATTACTTCTGGGAAAAGCGAGAAACAGCAGCCGCTCTCACTCTAGCCCTTCCCATATTTCCCTTAACTGCCTACAACCACCAATCACTACAAGAGCAGCTCCGGCACCGCGCTGGTGTTGGCTGATTTTGTTGAAATATCAGCGCACGTAGTGTCGAAGGTGGATCACGTAGAATAGTTTCTCTCATTGTACGTGATGGCATAATTTCGCTTATCGCTTTATTCTTACGTCACGTCACTCTTTGGAGCCATAACATCTAATTTAATTAGAAAAATAAACCAGCTAGATATGAGGGTGTGCTTGGTGAAGTGAGGCATTGGAGTGAAAACTTCCCTATACATTGTTCATAGCAACTAACTATAGATAAGTATGCCACGGAAGGTGAACTGTAGCATCAGAGTGGAACGTTTCTATACACTGCTTTTAGCAACAAGCTAGAGATAAATATGTCAAGTTTGGTAAACTGTAGCATTAGATTGAAACGTTTATATACATTACTTGTAGCAACAACCTAAAGATAAATATATCAAATTTGGTAAACTGTAACCTTAGAGTGAAACGTTTCCATACACTCCTTGTAACAGCAAGCTAAAGATAAATATATCAAGTTTGGTAAACTGTAGCATTAGAGTGAAACGCTTCTATACACTACTAGTGGCAATTACCTAGAGGTGAGAGTGTCAAGTTTGGTAAATTGCAGCATTCAAATGAAACTTTTCCATATCCTGCCTGTAACAATCTGCTAGATAAGATACTGTTGAACTTTTATTATATAAATAAAATATTTGTGAAGCCTCTTTGTCTCCTTAATTCTATAATTATGGAGTTTCAACAGGTACCGACGGTTTCGAGTATTAATTATACTGTTAAACTTGGTGAGCTGTAGCACTGGAGAGAAACTATTTTATACAACTGCTTTTAACAACTTTAGCTTGATATATTGTAGCATTAGAATGAAACTTTTCTATATAATACTTGTAGCAACCAGAACAGCTGAAAATGACGATGCTAAGATTAGTAAACTGTAGCATTCAATGAAACTTTTCTATACGTTGGTTGAAGTAAACAACTAGAGAAGAGGAAGTTAAAGTTGGTAAACTGTAGCATTAGAGTGAAATGAAACTTTTCTATACGTTGGTTGAAGTAAACAACTAGAGAAGAGGAAGTTAAAGTTGGTAAACTGTAGCATTAGAGTGAAATGAAACTTTTCTATACGTTGGTTGAAGTAAACAACTAGAGAAGAGGAAGTTAAAGTTGGTAAACTGTAGCATTAGAGTGAAATGAAACTTTTCTAGACATTTTTTGCAGAAAGCAGATAGAGATGAGGATGTTGAGATTAAAAAACTGTAGTAATGGAGTGAAATTTTTCTATTCACTGCTTATAGCAGTTATTTTCTGAAGGATGCAAAACGAAAGGAAAACAGGCATCCATTAAGAAATAGCAAATATAAATCACAAGTAATAAAGTGACTGTAGAGTGAAATATTTGATTTAAAAAGCAAGTATACTCAACTTAGAGTAAACACTGTGTTTATAATTCTGAGAACTTGGTGTGTACAAACTTGTTATTAGAAACGTACATATGTGGAATAAATGTATGCCAAGTATTATCTAACTTTCAACAAAAAATGTCATTTTATAGAGAAAACACAAAGAATTAATGTTTTATAAATTACATTTCACAAATATTATCTAAGCATTGTTCATAATCTCTGCTACTTACGTAAAGCTCATCAACTGTAAAAATAAATTAAGCTTATCTTCTACTGTACTGTTGAAGTTACTTATATATATATATATATATACTGAATATGTTTATTTATACACAAAAGTGTTATTTTACGATATGATTTCAAATCGATTATTAAATAATAAAAGTTAGATTATTTCTTTGCAGTTTTGCACGCACACTCACATCAAATTACCCATCATCTTTTTCACTGCCGCAATTATAGATAAACAATTCTCCCAGTACAAGGTTCGTTTTTAGAAACATAATAAAAGTCAAATAGGCACATGTTTTGATACTTCGTTAATTACCTGAAACTTCAAACCGCTGACTTTGGGAAATATGAAGTTAAATTCCTTTTCTTCATGGTGGTATAAAATTGAAAACTCATACGTAGTTAATACCACACTTTTCAAGGCTAAAACAAATGTTATGAAGTGTTCACCATATGTAAGGAACATGCATGTCTGCCGATAACAGTATAAAGAGTTCAAATGAAATTACTGAATCATAATAATTTTACGTTCACCAAGTGGTTAGTGTTAAGGGGTAAACATTTTTACCATGTTCTTGAACCTCATAAATTATCGAGTTATTTCATTATTGTATAAAATAAATCACTCACATTTTTTGTTTTTCATCGCAGTTTTAAGTGTAACAATTGCTAAAGTAGACTAACTTATTTTTGATGAAATAAAAACACGACTGCCTTATAAAATAACAACTCATTTAAATCAATTGTGGCTTCATAAGGCTAAACATTTAATATAAACAATAGCATACAAGTAGTGTTTACAAAATACTGATTACGTTGAATGGTTCTGTTTCACGTTGTAATTCAGAGTATATAACATATCGTTGTTGTTGTATCATTGCATTATTACCGGGAACAATTGTGAAAGTCACTTTATATAGCAAGTTATATAATTATTGGTGAAGCGTTGTTGTATTATTGCATTATTACGGGGAACAATTGTGAAAGCCATATTTATATAGCAAGATATATAGTTATTGGTGAAGCGTTGTTGTATTATTGCATTATTAGGTGGAACAATTGTGAAAGCCATATTTATATAGCAAGATATATAGTTATTGGTGAAGCGTTGTTGTATTATTGCATTATTAGGGGGAACAATTGTGAAAGCCATATTTATATAGCAAGATATATAGTTATTGGTGAAGCGTTGTTGTATTATTGCATTATTAGGGGGAACAATTGTGAAAGCCATATTTATATAGTTATCGGTGAAGCGTTGTTGTATTATTGCATTATTACGGGGAACAATTGTGAAAGTCATATTTATATAGCAAGTTATATAATTATTGGTGAAGCGTTGTTGTATTATTTTGTTTCATTAAATTTCTTTAGATGAAATCTTCGTAGTTAAATTTATTCAAACAAAAGGGAGCCTTATTAGATAAATGTTAAGAGCAGAAAAATAATTTATACCTTTTCTGTTTTGATAAGAGCCATAATCTTAGAAATGTTTAAAAACTATGTAGGCATTTTTAAAAGAAATTAACAAGGTGTTGAAGGACAATTAAAATCAAGAAAATCTTGTTCAATAACATAATATTCTGCTTAATAAATGCTTTACTGTGAAGTGTATATCAGGTGTTCCTTAATTATTCCACAGTTACCTGTTACACCTATATACTTCATATCAGATAGGTGACAAAATACTCTAACAAACATGGTCTTCCGTGTGTGCGGACTGTGAATTTAAGGATTCCTGGTTCTGGTCCCGTTGCCGAAAAAAATGGAGCTCCGCACTTTAAGTGACAAACAAATCCTACTATTTGGGCAGAGAAGAGTAACTGAACAGTTGGCGGTGGGTGTTATTAACTAACTGCTGTCCCTTTAATATCTCAGTTCAAAAACTAGGGACAGGTATACACGGATAGCTTTTGTGCGAAAATTCTAAAATAAGAAAGCATTCTGCGTATTATCAAGTTAACTTTATAACCTGCGTATTGAGCTTTAAATCCCTATCACTAATAGCTAGCTTAATCGTAAACCTTTAGGATAAAAGTAAAGGTTTTTATGTTTATGAATAAAGATTTGTATGTTAATAGATAGAAGGTTTTGTAGGAAATTTAGAAGAAGAGTGCCACTTTATGCTAATAGTTAGAAATATCTAGAATTAAAAAAAAGGACAACAAACAGAAAATTAATAATCCACAAAATCTTAATAATGATGGATTCAATTCTTAATGATAAAAATGTGATTCGACGATTTAGAATTTATAAAAAAAATACCAACTACTACCTTGAAGTACTCTGAACAAGTACCACTGATTTTCTTATAGACTAATTTTAGGAAAGTATTAGTCAATCTTTATAAGGAAAGCTTTTCCATATAGTTAATTATTGAAAAAGACTGAATTTGGTTGAGAGTTTATAAATGAACTTAAATATATAATAACACTATTGTACTTTAAGTTGTTGGACATATTCAAATATGCTGTATTTCGAGTTAAGATTTAACTAATTTCGATGTAATGACTATTACAAATAATTATATATATAACATAGAAAGTCGCACACAAACAAAAGCGAGAGATGTGGGTCAGACATTTGGGAACTAGAAGTTAGAGTTTTAACGTCTTTATTGCTGTTTTTATTCAGTTGTTATCCTGCTATAAAATTCTATCTGCACCCATTCTCTGTTTTTTATTGTTTTTCCCTGGTGTTCATATCAACGACGAAAGCACTTTATATGATTGTTTGGTTGTTTTTAAGCACGAAGCTGCGCAATGGGTATCAAAACCTGAATTTTAGCGTCATAAACTTATACACTTACCGCTGAGGTACTGGCAGACGCTTTATAATGAGTAGGCTTTATTTATCCTAAATAAGCCTCATATGCACAAATCAATAGGTTTTTCTACATTATCATTCACAGTATTCCCTGATGGTTAAGCTGTAACTGTTAGTGAGTAGTTACAATTTCAGAGTTAAATTTCAGAAAAGAGTGATCCTTGAATTGCTACAGGTAACGACAGTAGGAATCGTTTTGATGAACAAGAAGGTCAAATAAACAGACTTTGATATGAGAGTTGTATAACTACCAGATTAAACTTTAAAAAAATTCATAATATTACCTTTGAACTCTGAAACTTTCAAAAAGCCCTCTGAAAAATGTAAAGGTTTAAAAGGAAAATGTACCGAAAAGAGCATTGTACATAGATTGACGTATTTATGAAATAATTTATAAACTTTTTGGAGCTCGGAATATAAGTCATAGTAAAAACTAGTATTTCTGGAGT